CACAAGCTCTTCCAGCATTGAGTAGAACAAGATCTGAAGTCCTGCAAAACCAGCGGATTCTGAATCATTTATTCCAATCAGGATTTTGCCAGAAGACTTTAGGGATTTTGCATTCTATTCATCATGTTAATTTGTTTGGAAAAATAACAAAGACTTCTTTCAAATACACATGATAAATCAGAGTATAGGAGAAAAAATTACAAGACCCCAATCCGTACTATTACACAACTAAACCCAGACTCCAATGCCCACTCCCCGAACGTGGGAGTGATACATGAGTCCCAAGTGGAAAGTCTGGATCAGAAGTCTAGCCTTCAAACCCTGCCTGCTAAGAGCAGGAGGATATTAGATGGTCCTAACAGCCCCTGGCCCGAAAAAGGTGCTGCTCCTTACCTATCCCTAGTGAAGCATAAAAGTTGAGGTTTTCACTGAGTATTCAGAGAAAAAGAAAATTAAACAAACAATGAAGTCAGATAGCTTGAACTGCATGTATTTTTTCTTCCCAATTAAGAAATTGGACAATTTTACTCCAGGGATGCAAAATGTTCTAGTGCACTCTGGAGCACAAGTTAAGTACCAGATTTGCAAAAAGCGAGAGGCAGTATGTGGCACGGTTACTGATATTGCTACTCATATTCCCAAGCCTTAGCTGTAAAAGTTCTCCTGGCCAAAGGGTTCAAATCCCCTCATGTAAATGATATATGGCTTGGGCAACCTTCCAGATGCACTTGTGTCAGTGCAAAGGGTCACAGCTTCCATGTTACTTGGCATCACTCCCCTCTGACCCTCTGGCAGAGTGGCTTACAGGAGCAAGTCCAACTCACTCCATTCAAAATCAAACTACTAATTTAAAAGGTTTCTGCTAAGCAGTTGGATGTTAATTGAGACTGATCACGTTAATTTGTCTGCCAGCAGATCCAAAGGGGCAGTAACTGCTGGAAAAAGAGACATAATGAATACCCAGGACCTAAATTTTGTTCCAGTCATACAGCTGGATCTAGAGGAGGGCACGTGTCTTTGGTTTTCATGCCCTATCAGCATCCTGTCCTGCCAGCCTTCAGACTCTTAGAAAGTATGAGCAGTATGGGAAACCAGTGTAAGAGAATTTCCAATTTGGAAAAAATGAAACTCTGCCTGCAGAGTTTAATTCTGGGTAATCCTAGTCAAGAGATGCCGGCAAGCACTCTGGGACTGAGGAAGAAAGAGTTCATATCCAAATTGCACGACTTCCCTGATAACCCAGAAAGAGATGGTACTGCATTCATACTCAGCACCAAAGTTTCAGGTACGTGCTCGTGCAGGAATCCTGGGAAATTTCTGCGCCTGATGAAACCATAACCTCGCCGTTCATCCTGCCCTGGCCTGGCCCCGCTAACTTCACTCAGCTGTTACTTGGGAAAAGCTGCTGTGAGACGCAGCAAACACATCTGGCTTTGGATGCTGGGAGCCTGTCTGAAATTTAGGAACAACCCACGGCTGGAAATGACGATCAGCAATGGGATTTCCTGACCTACTCTCTCCGTAAGCAGTGCTGAAGTGAGGGTTAGCTGATAGATTTTCGCCAGCCCTTGCAGAGCAGTGAGAGAAAATGCTATACATATTGGGTGATTGCTGTTGGTTTTACTGATATTATGTTATATATGCTAGCAGGCAATTCCAATAGATGCAAAAAAGTGTCAAAATTAGTACAAATAGCTTTTGATTCTTTTTCCAGACTCCTTAGCCCACAAGCAGCACTCTGCGTTCTTCTATAGGAAAGTGGTATCACCTCTGTTAAGTGGACTTTTCAGACTCTGAAGCAGGGTGCTTTCCTGAGGTTGAATTAAGATTATGAGACAATAAACTTCCTGATTAAAAACAAATAATAATCCACTCTACAAAGAAAAGGGAGCAAAGACTTCTTTGTCAACATAGCAAAGAAAAATGTCTAAGTGACCACATGAGGTGTCTTTCCCCCTTCTCTTTTATTTCTTTTCTTTTTAATTTTCCTTTTTAAAGCGAACATGGTAAAATCTCTCTGTATTTCAAAAAGAATATTTTTCTTAGTGGACACATTATGAAATTCACTGCGGTGCGATACTCCCATGCACCTGTGAAACAACTCGCTCCTTCAAAGGTAAGCAGTGACAAGAGAGTTAAAAGCGCTACAGGGAGCGCAGGCAGGAATGAGAAATCAGCCCATGTCACATACTGTGCCTCTCAAGAGAAGGACTGTCTGTCAGGAGCTATGGAAAGAAAACGCTGGGTTTCATCCATGGAGCCAGAGAGGACTGGCTACAGCACAACAGGAAAATCAGACAGTGGAATACGTGGAGTCCCTTAAATATCAGTCAGCAAACGCTTTTTCATCTCGTATAGAATTGGCAAAGTCCTACCAGCTAATCTCTCTATCCACCACATCCCAGGAAATTTCAGTCTCCAGGAAGGAAAGAGGGTCTAGCTCCACTAACACCGTTCAGGGAACACTGCCATCATCATCCCTGAGCTAGACCATTCATTTCTTTTCCAATACAAGATGTGGCATTTTGTCTCAACAACTCTATTAAAAAAAACCAACCAGATTAAACTTTTGCACTGCCAGGTCTCATTGTAACCAACCCATAGAAAGTAACACAACTGTACTGAACCCACTAGAAATGTCGCCAGTGGGGACACAGGGAAAACACACAGGGGACTCACCACATCTTGAAAGGACTCCAGAGACCAGTTACAAAAGCTCACCACGTGGTCATCATTCCCATAGTCACCTTGCAGAAAAAGGACCAAGCAATCACATGGGAGAGACAATTCTCTTCCACTTTAGCATTATTCATTAAAAGGCAGTTGCTGCTGAAAGTTTCCCACAACAAGCAGCTCTTAATTCCAAAATTGTTCCATTAAGGGAAATCTTAGGAGTCATCACTTTTACTCTGGCTTTACGTTCTGGATTTTTGCCTGGGCAACGTTCAAGCAGGAACAACATCTATTTAAAGTACATGCACGGTACATATTATGCATAGATGTCAAGGGATGGGAGTAGGTTACGAAACATGGAATCCATGATATTTTACAAAAAAAAAATCATTGTTCAAAGAGCTTAGGGAAAACATAACACTGTACTTGAGGCTATGAAGTCGTAATCCAGTTTCCCACCTGGACAAATGGTGAGGCCAACAGTACATTAGTTTGTCCTGAAGCAAAAGCTCTGTCTGAGAGGAACTAAAATAGCACAACACAACCCTGTGACTAAGTTTTTCAAAATTGTTACTAAAACAATTATGAGGAAAAAAAACCAACCCCAAACTCTATCAAATCCCTCACAAGAAGAGTGGAACAGCAG